GTTACAAGACTGTGTACATTAAGGTTATATTTTCCTACAATTCTACTACTTATATTCTATGTCCCCCCTACATTTTAATTTATTTCCAACATTGTCAGATAAAAACAATGGTCTGTCTCTCGACTGTTTTGAGGAAATCTATGCAGTATGTATGTGGGATGCCTGGCACCATGCCTGGCACAGAAGTAGGGGCTCAACCAGCAGTAGCTACTGTTTCTATGAGAGGAAACCCAGGGCACCCCTAAGGGGACTGTCCCAAGGCTGTTGTGAATCCACAAGTGGCTGGCACCTCTTATAATGTGTCATTTTCACTTCAGGAGAGGAGGAAGCTAGTGGTTGGCTAGGCTCACCACCAGGGAGGTGACTTTTTCCTATTCACCACCCTCAAATCATCTTAACTCAAATGAGGGCCTCGACATTGTGTAAACGACTGTGTGTGGTGGACCTTTAGGTAATCACAAACTGTTGAATTCATGAACATGACATCCTCCAGCACCAAGGTTGTCTTTTCCTGTAAAGCACAGTGGTAGGCATGCATGGATCATTATTGCAGCCAGTGTAGACAACAGGTTGGAAGGAGGCAAGAGACGGTGATGGAGTGAGTTTGACCTGGCTCTTTCTTGTCAGTCCTGCATCTATTCAAGCGGGCTCCTCTGCCATCTTGGTGTCTATCTGCAGGACCATGTGGGCAGATGCACTAGGTTGAGGAATCAGAGTGTCCCAACACAGGGAAAATCTTTGATTTAGTCAGCACTTATTTTTGTCTGAGCACGCAAGAAACCCAACTCAGCTGGATTAAGCCAGAAGGGAGCGTATCAGCTCACACGACAGAAGTCAGTCGTGGCTGGACCCAGGTGCTGTGGGAATTAGTACCTCTGTCTGTCGGCTTCTGTTACTCTTTGTGGAGTTCACTCTCAGGCTGGCTGTCCCCACGTGTTGGCACAATGACCCCGCAGCTCTGAGGCAGGGAGCTGGATAGAGACGAGAAGGGGAGAAAGAAAAACTGGTTATCTGAAATGGGACAATCGAGTCCCTGAACAGGCATGCACGTGCGCAGAAGTGACTACAGGAGACAAAGACCATTCCAGACAGGGAGTGCCCCCTACACACCTTGGGTGCCATTTGGTTAGACCAATGAATTTAAACCCGCTAGGGCGCCAGTCTCTTTAACCAGTATGACAGAGATTACATTCAGGGCTCAACCAATGACCAAATGGCACAAGTCCAGAGGACTTAACACCCCAGGACTGTAACCATCGGGGCTCTTGAGCACTCTCCTCTCACTCGAGCCTGCTCCATTTATCCGGAGTCTACTCTTTCCTCTTCCTTTGCTAAATAAAACTGCTTTTACTTTTCATTTCTGGCTTGTCTCGTGTAATTCTTTGTTCAAGACACCAAGAACCTGGATCTGGCCAGCGGGACCTGGAATTTTCCCGTAACAGCTCCGGGCTCACATCCTGCCCATAGGCAAGACGAACAGGAAGCAAACCTCACTTTCCGAAGGTTTCAGCCAAATCCCTGCTCACTTACCTTGGCTCCCCAGGGTCCTGTGCCCATCCCTCAACAAACATCTGCAGCCAAGGGGTGGGAGATACCAACCGTCCAGGCCCACTTCCCTTGCTACCCCAGGCCAGGAGCAGAGGGTCAGGCAGGGGGACAAGATGCTGCATGGGAAGAGCAGGACATGCCCGATTCCACTGGTAGAACTAACGGGTCCATCTCATCTCCCTTGACCTTCCAAAAATGTCTTCTTGTTTAGGCCCGAGACTCTGGTTTTGGCTTATTGAAAACACATGGTGGGCAGAGCCGAGAATGGGAGACGAGTGAGTCGTCTGAGCAGCACCCCGGCCTCCTCGCCGCTCTCGCCTCGCTCTCGTGGCCTGCCCGCCCGCCCACCCGCTTGCTTGCCACCCAGAATACCTTCCACCATGGCCACCTCAGCAAGTTCCCACTTGAATAAAGGCATCAAGCAGGTGTACATGTCCCTGCCTCAGGGCGAGAAGGTCCAAGCTATGTATATCTGGATCGATGGCACTGGAGAAGGACTGCGCTGCAAGACCCGTACCCTGGACTGTGAGCCCAAGTGTGTAGAAGAGTTGCCTGAGTGGAATTTTGATGGCTCTAGTACTTTTCAGTCTGAAGGCTCCAACAGTGACATGTATCTCGTGCCTGCTGCCATGTTTCGGGACCCCTTCCGCAAGGACCCCAACAAGCTGGTGTTCTGTGAAGTTTTCAAGTACAACCGAAAGCCTGCAGAGACCAATTTAGGACACACCTGTAAACGGACAATGGACATGGTAGGCAATCAGCGCCCCTGGTTTGGAATGGAGCAAGAATACACCCTCATGGGGACAGATGGGCACCCCTTCGGTTGGCCTTCCAACGGCTTCCCTGGGCCCCAAGGTCCATATTACTGTGGTGTGGGAGCAGACAGAGTCTATGGCAGGGATATCGTGGAGGCTCACTACCGGGCCTGCTTGTATGCTGGAGTCAAGATTGCAGGGACGAATGCTGAGGCCATGCCTGCCCAGTGGGAATTCCAAATAGGACCGTGTGAAGGTATCAGCATGGGAGATCATCTCTGGGTGGCCCGCTTCATCTTGCATCGTGTATGTGAAGACTCTGGAGTGATAGCAACCTTTGATCCCAAGCCCATTCCTGGAAACTGGAATGGTGCAGGCTGCCATACCAACTTCAGCACCAAGGCCACACGGGAGGAGAATGGTCTGAAGTACATTGAGGAGGCCATTGAAAAGCTAAGTAAGTGGCACCAGTACCACATTCGTGCCTACAACCCCAAGGGGGCCTGGACAATGCCTGGAACCTAACTGGATTCCAGGAAACCTCCAACATCAACGACTTCTCTGCTGGCGTAGCCAACTGTGGCGCCAGCATCCGCATTCCCTGGGCTGTCAGCCAGGAGAGAAGGGGCTACTTTGAAGACCGTCACCCCTCTGCCAACTGCGACCCCTTTGCGGTGACAGAAGCCCTCATCCGCACATGTCTTCTCAATGAAACCGGCGACGAGCCCTTCCAATACAAACACTAAGTGGACTAGACTCCAGCCGTCAAACCCCTCCTAGTTCCTCCTCCTGCTTCAGCTCTGCCCCCTCTCTCAATTGTCCCGATTGTCCCAATTGTAACTAACTCGAAGGGTAGAGCATCAAGGTCTTTTTTTATTCCTCCTGCCAGTTAATCTTGCTTTTTTGGCCAGGATAGAGGGGTCGAGTTCTTAATGTCTTCACACCCACCTTTTTTTCCTATCACTGAAGCTTTGTAGTGTGTTAGTGGGGAGGGGGACAGGGAAACATAACCACTGCTGCCACTGAATCGGGTGTGCTGGTCTGACAGGCCTGTCACCATCCGGATAGCACATCCATACGTGCTTGTGAAGGAGGGAGAGGACTTCTTCAGGTAGCTGAAGGGGGATGGCCCGACTTACTCTGTGGTTAGGTTAGGATATCTCCTCTTGGTCGAAAGCTGTTTCTTAAGAGCTCTCCACTTTCTGTTGAAAGTGGGAATTAGAGGAGGGGTTGGGAACCAGGGAAGAAAATGCCCTTGGTCTCTTGCTGTGGTGCTTTGCCTTGCTTATGGCTAAATGCCCTCCCCTAGACACAAAGCTCAGAGCATAAACAGACGGGACATCCCTACCTTGAAAGAAGAAAAAGTTTTTACTGCTTCGTCCTCCATTTATAACACAAAGCAGAGTAGTATTTTTATATTTAAATGTAAAAGCAAAAAAATCATATATATGGGTGTGTGGATATGTGTGTTCTTCTAAAGGAAGAAACTATCTTGGTCACCAGGAGCTGAATTTGAGGCAAATAATCTGGTTTAGAAATAGGATCTCCTTTTGAGTAAGGGGGTGGGGAAAGCAGTGCTTGTGAAGTTGGTGATTTGTGGCTGCTAGTCCCTTGTTAACACTTACAGGTTTCTCTGCCCTTCCCACCCTTCTGGCGGGGGACACAGGTCAGTTAACAGTGGACACACATTACTAGTCACTTGAGCCTCATGGCTTTGATTTAGAAGACATGTGTATTTGTCCACACACAGGGATTTAGAGATGAGTTGGCTGGTCAACTTGAGCATGTTACTGACAGAGGGGGTACTGGGGTTATTTTCTGGTGGGATTAGTGTGTCACTAAAGCAGGCCTTTTGATATATTAAAAAAATTTTTTTTAAAGCAAAATAGTATAGATTTTAATCAAATCTGTAGGGTTTCTCAGTAAGTTTACAGAATTGCTTGTTTGCTTCAACTGTCTCTTCACCTCTGCTCTTGGAGGAGATGGGGACAGCTTTGGAGTCAAAAAACGTGTAATTTTGTATTCTGTTGTCTTTTTTCCTGGTTTGGAATATTCCTTTTGTTAAGATTGCTGAGGAGTTGTATTTTTTTCTTTTATAATAAACAAGCCCCACCTTTATCCTACATTCCCCACACTGTTTTTGTGTTGGCTGCAGCAGGCCAGCTGTAGTTTTCTCTTGCCATGACGACCTCTAATTGCTGTGTACAGTATGTTCAGTTAGATAACTCCTCATTGTAAACAAACTGTAACTGCCCAGAGCAGCGCTTATAAATCAACCTAACATTTATAAGATCTCTTCTGACTTGTTTCTTTGTGATTCTTTTAAAATCTCATGTGTCATTTTATTCCTTAGTTTCCTACCAAAAAGAGGGGAGTGGTTTTTTTAAGAAGAAAAATAAGCTCAGCTTTATCTGCTATTTCAATTTTTAGAAATCTGGATTCATGTCGCTGATCAGCTCTTTCCCTTACTTCTCTAAATTGGGTATTTGGGATCTCTGAGATTAAGTTTTTTCACCTAGACGATGAGAGTACACAATCCTCAATGAAACCGGCGACGAGCCCTTCCAATACAAAAACTAAGTGGACTAGACTTCCAGCCGTCAAACCCCTCTTAGTTCTTCCTCCTGCTTCAGCTCTGCCCCCTCTCTCAATTGTCCTAATTGTCCCAATTGTAACTAACTCAAAGGGTAGAGCATCAAGGTCTTTTTTTATTCCTCCTGCCAGTTAATCTTGCTTTTTTGGCCAGGATAGAGGGGTCGAGTTCTTAATCTCTTCACACCCACCTTTTTTTCCTATCACTGAAGCTTTGTAGTGTGTTAGTGGGGAGGGGGACAGGGAAACATAACCACTGCTGCCACTGAATCGGGTGTGCTGGTCTGACAGGCCTGTCACCATCCGGATAGCACATCCATACGTGCTTGTGAAGGAGGGAGAGGACTTCTTCAGGTAGCCGAAGGGGGATGGCCCGACTTACTCTGTGGTTAGGTTAGGATATCTCCTCTTGGTAGAGAGCTGTTTCTTAAGAGCTCTCCACTTTCTGTTGAAAGTGGGAATTAGAGGAGGGGTTGGGAACCAGGGAAGAAAATGAGCTTGGTCTCTTGCTGTGGTGCTTTGCCTTGCCAGCTAGCTGCAGCACAAGGCTGAGAATATGGTCTATTTGATGAGTATTCCAGGTGCAGTAGAAAATTATATGCATTTTATTGTTTTTGGGTAGAGTGTTCCATAAAGGTGTATTTGGTTAAACTGCTTGATAGTGTTGTTCAAGTCTTCTACATCCTTATAGATTTTCCACATTCTTGTTCTATCAGTGACTGGGGGAATAACATTGAAGTCTCTAAATATAATTTTGGATTTTTAAATTTTTCCTTTTGGTCCTGTCAGATTTTTCTTTGTATATTCTGAAGCTCTGCTATTTGTTGCATAAACAGTTATGTTCGTATGTCTTCTTGATAAATTGACCCTTTTGTCATTATGTAATATTCCTTTTTATGAAGCCTACTTTACTTCTACTTTACTATGTAGACAGTGTCTATTTGATGAGTATTCCAGGTGCACTAGAAAATTATATGCCTTTTATTGTTTTTGGGTAGAGTGTTCCATAATGGTGTATTTGGTTAAACTGCTTGATAGTGTTGTTCAAGTCTTCTACATCCTTATAGATTTTCCACATTCTTGTTCTATCAGTGACCGGGGGAATAACATTGAAGTCTCTAAATATAATTTTGGATTTTTAAATTTTTCCTTTTGGTCCTGTCAGATTTTTCTTTGTATATTCTGAAGCTCTGCTATTTGTTGCATAAACAGTTATGTTCGTATGTCTTCTTGATAAATTGACCCTTTTGTCATTATGTAATATTCCTTTTTATGAAGCCTACTTTACTTCTACTTTACTATGTAGACAGTAGAACTTTTCATAATTAGTGTTTCTGTGATGTATTTTATTCCATCCTTTACCTTTAACCTATCTGTGTCTTTGTGTTTAAAGTGGGTATGTTGTAGACAACACAGCATTGGGTCTTGTTTTTTGATCTAGTCTGTCAATCTTGGGTCTTTGAATTGGAATGTTTAGGCAATTTACATTTAGTGTAATTATTGATAGGTTGGGTTCAAATATACCATCTTGCTATTTATTTTCTATTTTTCCAGTGTGTTCTTTGTTTCACTTTTTACTGCCTTATTTTGTATTAATTCAGCATTTTTTAGGATTCCATTCTAAAGCTAGTAGAGAATTTTCTCTATAAGCTTAATAGTTATATCTCTTTAAGTTTTTAGTAATTACTCTAGAGTTTGTAATATATATTTTTAACTTATCACAGTCTACTTTCCATTAGTAATATACCATTTTATTTATGACATAAGAATCTTACATCAGTCCAATTTCTTTTCCCCCTCCTGTCCTTTATGCTCTTATTATCACATATTTTACTTATCCATACATTGTAGCCCAATACATTGTTATTTTTACATTAAGTACTCAACTATCTTTTAAAGAAAGTGAAAAATTAGAAAACATAAAAGTTTTTAAAATCTACCCACATAGTTAACATTTCTGGTACTCATTATCCATTTGTAATAGACTTGGTATCTATCTGATATTTTCCTCAGCCAGAAGAGCTTTATTTCATCATTTTTATAATGAAGGTCTGCTAGTAATAATGAACTTTCTCAGCTTTTGTTTATCTGAACATTTTTTATTTTGTGTTACTTTTGAAAAATATTTTCACTAGGTGTAGAATTCTTGATTGATACTCTTTTTTTCTTTGTCTCTATACATTACAGATATTGTTCCATTGTCTTCTGGCTAGCATAGTTTCAATGTAATAGTCTTTATCATTTTTTAGTTATATTGTCCTGGATGTGTGAGTATTTTTTTTCTCTGACTAATTATAAGATTTTCTCTTTATCATTGGTTTTCATAAACTTTTTTTTATGAAATGCCTTGATGTAATTTTCTTTGTATTTATTCTGCCTTGGGGTTTATTGAGGGTTTTGGATATGTTGACATATTTTTAATGAAATTTAGAGAACTTTCAACTATTACTTCTTCAAATAAAATGAAATGCCTTGATGTAATTTTCTTTGTATTTATTCTGCCTTGGGGTTTATTGAGGGTTTGGGATATGTTGACATATTTTTAATGAAATTTAGAGAACTTTCAACTATTACTTCTTCAAATAATTTTTGTGCTCTTTTCCTTTTCTTTGAGGACTCCAAATTATACAACATGGTTGTGATATTGTGATATAATAGGAAATATATATTTTAGTTTTGTCCACAGCATCTGGCTCACGGCTCCTGAAACCCTTGTAATTTCCTAAGTGACTAGAGGAACAGGAGTATCTTTTGTTAAAAAATTTGGACTTTTGTCCTCAGTTCCTGAAATAGTTCCAGAGTGATAAAGGTGAAAGTCTTGTCTTTTGTTATTTATAACAAGCCCCTTTCAACCACACCTGAATTTATATTAATTTATGATTAATTAATTTAAATTAATTAATTTTTTGGAAAGCCCCTAGGCAACTGCAAGATGGGGGACTAGTTGACAGGGGAATTAACTATGTGATTAGTGGGTTGGAACTTTCAGCTTCAACCCCTGACCTCTGGGGAGGATAGAGGGGCTAAATGTTGAGTTGATCACCAATGGTTGGTGATGTGATCAATTGTGCCTATGTAGTGAAGCCTCCATAAAAACCCCAAAGAACAGGGTTTGGAGACCTTTCCCGGTTGGTGAACAGACCATCATGTACTGGGAGGGTGGTATACCCCAACCCCAC